TGTTTAAGAGAAGGATAAAATTCCAAAAATATAACCATTATCTTCCTTAAAAGGTTGCAAAATATTTAGTGATGTGAAAGCTTGGGAAGGAAGAGGGAGGATTTTGCTTTTTTTTTTTGTGGAAGAAATTATCACTATTTTATGGAGGATACATTATGTAATAGTCCATTGCTATAACAAAAGCAAGAATAATACATTTCCTATCTTCTTCAAATGACAACAATTGTTATGACTGGTGACAAAAACTGAACTAAGTTCAATGACAAATGTTACAGAGATAAAAAGGATGATATTAAAAGTGTCTAAGCTAATTGCAAAGTAAAAGACAATGAATTAAAAAACTGAAATATAGGAGTAAATCTAAAGGATATAAAAATAAACTTGCAAAAATACTTAACTATTAAGTGAATGCAATCCAATATTGCTATGTAAAAGGCTGAGATATTAAAATATTGATTTAACAACCGCTACAGCCTTAAATGATAAAGAAATACAAGCACTCCTCAGAAGGCAACCATTTGTTCAGCAACTGTTCGAAGTTACAGCACTGTAAAAACGGACTTACAACCACTCCTAACACTTACAACTATGTCAGGGTTCCCATGGACACACAATAAAACTTTGGGAACTTGGCCATTGGCCCATATTTACAACTATCACAGTATCCCATGGTCACATTCTTCTGTCCTGTGTGACTGTCTCCACTTCAACTTCACACACACCTGTCTCCCCCCCCCCAATCATTGCCTTTTGGCCACCCTGCACAGAATGGCAGAATAAATATGCTGCTGTATTCTGCTCCTAATGCTGCAAAAACTTGATTCCTCTCCTCCTTGTTATTATTGTCTTTTTTTTTCTGCCATCCCCTTGCCTTGTCTCCAATTCGCTCATCAATGCTAGCCACCCTTAGACCCCATGATACGGGGATTCTGTCAATGCTGGGCTCAGAGGCAACACTGAGGGGCAGTATGGGAGCAAAGACAAGTGGTACCAAAATATAGCAGTGTCTTCATCTCTGCCATGCTATGCATGGTGATCAAAAGGGCAGAAATTGACGAGAGGGGAGAGATAGGTGGGTGGCAGAGTTGAAGTGGAGGCACTTCGTACACGTCAGAGGAGTTGGCCCTCCCTCTCACTGCCACCTCTGACTGTGTTAACAGAGCACCTGTACTGTAGGGCTTGAAGTTCTTCCACAGAAAGAAATGCAAGGCAACACCAAGGAGAAGGAAGCCAAGGATACCATTGAGTATGACAGGGAGGATAGTCTACTGGGGAGATGGAATGTAGTATCATCTTCATCTTGGCCATGCTGTTAAGGGTTAATTGCCATTTGCAATGTTCCCAGCCAGTTTCTGACAAGCAAAATCAATGGGGAAGCTGGCAGCAGGTTACAAGCCCTGGTCATGTGAGGCCCTAATGACAACTGGAAGTGCTGAAACTGCTTTGTGGTCATGTGATATTTTGCTGAATGACTGCTTTGCTTAGTGACAGAAATTCCAGTCCCAATTAGAGTCATAATCTAAGGATTACCTGTGAATTGATCTTAAAAATTGATTAAGATTATTCCTGACTGGCTCAGATGGAGGGTGAGCATATATTTCCTATGTTTTATGACAAACTGGCAAGATGGGAGGTAAGACTGCTGCTCTGCAGGTAAAAAGGGCAATATAAGAATATAGATTAATTCTATTTCCTTAAGCAGGCAAGATAGAAGCATTTCTGTGGAAGTACTATTAAATTGGTCTTCTAGAAGCACAGGTATAAGTTGTATTTAGACAAGGTAAATGCTTTATTACCAAAGGTAGGTCAAAGAAAGAGGCTGCCAGAAAAGATATAATGATAAAGTTGATCTGAGTTTTTTAAAAATCTATGCCAAATATTTATTGTTTTATTCTTAGTCAATGTATAAACATTTCAAATATAGTGAGGATAAGGTCCCAGAAGTTCAGGTTAATCTTGCACATCATGATTATATTTGCCATAGTGACATAAACACTTTTATAGAAATTCAAGTTTTAACCCAAATTTTTCAGAAGCACTATACATTGTTAGACCACTACACATTATATATAAAATATCTGAAATACATTTTTTTAAAAAGAGGAAAACCTGAAGAATTACATTTATTTGTTAGGGTTAATTCTAGTCAAATTCAATTCCAGTTTTACACAGTATAAATTCAATGAACTAATTTTGAATTTTCACATACGGTTCAGTTTATTTCTGGACCTTTATTTAAATATAAAAATCATTGCTAAATCTCATTCGAGCAATTTATTTCAACTGCATAAACTTTTAAAAAATGATTTAGTGTCATTTTTATTGATTAAATATTCTGAACAATTGATAATAGTATATATAGTTCATTTATCATTTTCTGTTAACACGACTGGTAATTTTCTCTTCTGCCCAAATAAAATAAAATCAGTTTAAATGAATGGAATGCATACGCTTCAGGATTATTAATAACATTAACTAGAATGAGTGTAGGCAATTTTAGTTATATACTAAATCTGTTCCAAAATTGGATAGTAAAAAAATACCGACTAATCACATCTGGCAGGTAACTAAAAATAAAATCTAGTTAAATGTCTTTTGGTCCCATGGTACTTACTGGACAATATGTAAAGTGTATATTAATTCATAAATTATAAATCACTATTTAAATACAGTAGTAAGAAGCAAAGATGATGAAAATATATAGAAGAGATATACTGATTGCATATCATATATAGGGTAATAACACCATCCTCCCCATGATAAATATACTGTCCAGGTTAACTCTCTTTATGACAATTTTAGATATATTTATTTGGAACTATGACTTACTGTGTTACCTCTTCATGTAGTTTTAAGAAAACCAAATTCTTCTCAGAATAAACCTTTTGGATTTTTATAAACTTTAAAAAAATTCCTAGGAGTACATCTGGCTGAATAGTTAAATATTTTTTCAAGTATGCATAAATAGAATTACAATGAAAGATATTAATTTTTTTTATTCTACAATACTATTTGTGTAAGTTTTATCTAAATATTTTGATATACTTATTTGATTTTGTTTCACAGTTCATGTTTTTCAGACTACAATTTATTACTAAATCCCCCTCCCCTTGCATCTTACTGATACACTCCCTCCTGCATCTTAACAATACACTCCAGGATAAGGATCATTTTATCTTGACTTACTTGTCAAAACTTATGCTACTGGCCAGTTCATACATGGCACAGATCTGTCTATACTTATTGCAGAGGTATGGAAGAGAGAGGTATTTTTGCTTTTGTACTTTTTTCTCCTGGGAAGCATTAAGATACTTTTTTCCTTTGATTTTAAAAAAAAACAAGAGTGAGAGAAAGGGGATAAATATATTTATTCCCAAAGCAACCAATGGGCTGTATGAGATAATGTTATCGCTACCTTTGATGGCTGTTGTTATTTTGCAGAATATCTTCTGTTCCTCCTGTTACAACCCCCCCCCCTTTTCTGTGCCCTGGTGAATAAAACATAAGCAATCCCCACCTGTGGAATTAACACTTGCTGCTATTGTTAAGTGGATTTGTGACAAATACAATTTACCCAAAGGGAAATATCAGAACCAACTGCAGGACTTCAAAAAATGAATGCTTTATAAGAAACTACAATTAGATGCAAAAAAACCAGCCTGCTTTTATAAAATTATCACTTTTTAAGATTAGGAATAATATACTGAGTATTATATACTATGCAAATATTTTCCATTTACAAGAACTAAGGAATGAAATTGCAAAATAGTAATTATTAGAACTGCCTAGAGTAGTCCCACAGTGAAGTAAGCAGCAAATAAATAACCAAATATAGGCAATGTGCTATTAAAAACTGTCACTATTATCAGTATTAGTTTTTTTATATTTACATTGAGTGCCTTGATGCATGTCTCTTTTGCAGTTTCCATTTATGTCACAAATTTGGCCCAGCAGTATTTACATGCACGCACACATGCATGCGGGCACATACACACAGATAGAGAGAGAATATTTGTCTGGTTTTTTTGAAGATTTACATGACATTTGCTAAACATAGTTGGCTAAAAGCATACGAGCATATTATTAACCAAAATAATATTGGTCTTATATAGATTTTATTAAAGAGCAAAATATTTTTTTAAAAAAACCTATGTGTCTAGGTGTTAAAATCATTCTTAGAGCAGACATATATATTCCTGATAATTTTATGATCTTTCTAGGATAGCAATTTAAATATGGTTTTTTATCAGTTATTAAGAATCTCCTTCCTATTGTCTAGGATTAATAATACATTTTAAAGCACATTCAACACTATAGGCTTTGCCAGAAACAGAAACTCTACACTGTAGCTCCGAATGTTATGTTTGAAGAAGGGGAGGAAAGGGGGGGGGGGAGACGACAGCCAAGGTGAGTTATAGCTTAGTACTGCCATCAGACAAAAGCAGTATTTATACAGCTGGATTTCATTATGATTATAATACACGGAGGCGGGAGTGGAGGGCGATCACTCGCTTCCAACAACGCATACAGACGGAGTGTGTGCTCTTTACACAGAAACACGCCGAGATTCCCCCCTCCCACTCAACCCATCTCCCGGCTGCACCACTGGGGGTCACACGGCGCAGTCCCTAACCAGGGAAACGCGTTTTGCGCGGTTCACATGTCAGCTCCCCGGCACAACACTCAGTCGTGCAAAGGGGCTGCCATTCCTTTCCCCGCGATTCCCAGGCGGGGCACCCGGGAACCACCGAGTTTGCTCAACCGCAGTAGCGACGGCGGGATCAAGTAGGGGAGGCTCCCGCTGCAGCGCGTCAACGTCGCGAGGTGGAAGGCGAAGAGAGAAAGAGAAGGGAGGTCGGGAAACCCTAGTCCATCCGCCCCTCTCCCCCAAATCAGAACTGCTCCCGAAAAGAAAGGGCAGAAGGCAAGCAGGGTCCCCAGAGCCAACAAAGCCTCCTTCGCCTCGGCGTTGCCCGGAGCGAGCGGGCGCCCGTCCTTACCCGATGGAGTGGCACCGAAGACTCTCACCACGGGCACCTTCTTCACGGGGGCCTCCCTAAAGGAGGACTGGCAGGGGTCGAGGCCGGGGAGCGGGCTGCTCATGTAGTAATCGGCGGTCACGACCCTCACTGAGAACATGTTCGCCGCCACGAAGGAGAGGCGCCGCTGAGGGCGACCACTGGGCGCACCCCGAGGCTGGGGCTCGGCGCACCCGTCCGCAGCGCGAGAGCGCAACTCCCGCCTTCTTTCCTCAACACGCCCGCCGCGCGCGCGCTCCCGCGCTCGGCCGAACCAATGGCCGGGCAATCCTCGGGGAGGGGAGAGCGAGACGCGCACGCGCGACGCCGGGTCTCCGCTTTTTCTTGCTTTCCCCAACTCTCTCCTGTCACCAGGATTGAGCGCCAACCAGGATGAGGTTCTTTAGAACGCGCGGCTCGTCGTGAGCAAACACCACTGTATGCGGAACAGCGCCAGAACTGGAGCTTTCTCGGCTGCGGTTGTTGTTGCCATGATGATGACGTCACGTGACGGCCACCTTGTGGAGGGTTATAGACGGAGTGGGGGTGGGGGTGCTGGGGAGGGAAAAAGATTGGACTCTTCTTACTTGCGTACGAGCTTCAGCTCCAAGGCGACTTTATAACTGGCGCGTATGCTTGGGTTTAGAGAGAGAGAATCATTGCTATCGATAGTTCGGCTTTCGAACTCCAAGGGCTGGGAAAAGTTATACGGAGAGCGCAGTCGCGATTAGGGACGGGACTGGTAACTTATAAGAGATGCTATTCAGCCGCCATTTCAGACGTCGAGCCCCTTTAGCTCAGAAGGAAGGAAGGTGTGCCTTCCTTGGAAAGGCGTTAGAGGGAAATTGTGTGAGGAGCGGCACGGTGGGGGGAGGGGGAGAATAAGACCGGGCAACGTTTCCTGCGCGCGCTTCTCTTTCTTCCCCGCCCCTCCCTCCCTCCCTTTTAACTTGCTGCCGGAGAAGAGAAAGATGAATGGAGCGCAGCCTTGTTAAAGGGCGGCTCGCGCGAAAGGCGGGAGTGGCAAGAAAGGCGGGGCTTCAGCCGCGCGCTGCGGAAGAGGAACGTGCTGCCCGTTTTTTCCCCCCAGCTGCGGAGTTGGGCGCTGACAGCTGTTCTGCGGTGGCGCGGGAACTTAGACTGGGGGCCGCCAGCCAGGTGGCGGTACAGTTGTTAGAGCCTACGCTGATCTGGGGGTTGTCTGAAACCTGCCATTTGGGGTGACAGATCAGCGGGGCGATCGGCTTTTCATGGGAGGGTGCGCGCGCGCTGAATATCTTCTCTACAACAAAGCGACGCGTGCCTGCACAAATGGTTTTTCCAATTCCGCTACATTACGGAGCCAAGTACCCTGAGGATTTAGAAAGGGTCAAGTGCCATCTGGCTTCCCCTTTGGCACAACGACCGTCGAACTACAGCCATTTATCGGAATTGAGAATGAAACATCTGGCTGTATAATTCTTAGTGATTCCATAATAAATCTGTTCTACTGCTATAAGGAAAAAAATATTCACCACAAATTATATCTATTTTTCTTTCTTGACTCTTTTTCACTTAATGTACACCTATACAGATATTCTGCCTTTGTTTAAGAAAAGGAACATTCTGTGATAACCAAGGCATTGTACAGAACAATATTACGTTTCTCTAGTTTGGAATAATGTATTAATTTTTTTGCTTATGCAACCAATACCTTAATTTGGTATTTGGTATCTTCCACTAATATATACAAGCTGAAGGCTCTCTGGCTTTTTAAAAAAATTTAGGAACTGCCAATGCTTTTGTAAGGTATTGTTGATAGAATAACTTTATTGTCACTTTGAATGTTCACTAATCATACATTAAAATGAAATTTCATTACATACAGTATTGTTCATAAATGCTTATCAAATATAAATGTATGCAGGATGAGGAAAAGAGGTACAGTTTTGAGTGGTTATACCATGAAAGTGGATAGAAACTTAAAAGTACATGGGCTTTGTTCACCCAAGTCATTTATGGTTAACCTATCCATACTTTATTTAACAAACTGTTCTGGAGTCATTCAACTATGAACCATAAACTAACCATATGGACTTGGTTCATACTAAATATTTGGTTAGAACAGCAGCAACAGGCTAATGTTCTCTAGGCTCAGAAACTGAGCAGGTTTGGGACTGGTTAGTATTTGTATGACATACCAAATAATAGTAAGGCTGTGTGGTTTGAATTAGGAAGTCAAAAGCACCTTCCTGAAGAACATAGGGCAAGCCATTTCCATACTGCTACTAAGAAAACTCCATAATTATATACATTATTATGCTAGGGATTGTACTTTTCTATTGAATTATGTATTTAATGAGAAATAAATTCAGTATATTGTATGAACACAGTCATAATGCAGTCTGCAATCTGGTAGTCTCTCTAACTAAATTTTCTTCTCCATGGATAGAGAGAAAGCACTGTCTCAGAGGAAAGCTGTTTTCATATGCAATATTTACTTTTTATTGGAAAAGGAATAAATGTGTCAGTCGAGACTTTGGGTTTGGTGATCCCAAGCTGTTGTAACATCTTAATACCTCTTCCCAGCAGTCCTGGAGATGACCTATATTAATTTTCCTTGTATTCATCTCAAATTCAATGGAATCTGTTTTTTTAAACAGAAACAACCCTCCCCCCCTTTACGGAATCCAGACTATTTCAGTCATCAGGGGATTCCCACTGGAAATAACTTGCACAACTAGCATTCTTTTTTTATTTCTCAGTTTTGAACATATGCAAACTTGCTTTATTAAATAGAAATTTTTTAAAACAATTTTGTGTACAGTAAAAATGTAATTTTATTTAGTACTCAGCAGCAAATCCAATTGTAGCTAAAACAAAGACCTCTGTCCATTGCCCTTCAGAATGTCTAATGTGTGTTGCTAGGCAACAATCCCAATAATGAGCTGTAAATTTGAATAAGCTACTGATATCAATCAAAGAAAATAAAGTAGCTTAATCTTAAATATGGATATTTCTTAACTACCTTTCTTCCGTAAATGACCTCTAGATTTCCACATCATATTAAAAACAACAAAGCTAAGAGCACCAGCCAATTGAGATTTAAGTCCTCTGCCAAAATAGGTGATCTCTGATATTAAATTAATAACTATAAATATACCAGAATAGATATATTACTAGGATGCAAAATGTTATATTTTTACTGTAGAAATGCTAAAAGGATCCAGAGACCTAAATTAATACCATCTTACTAGGGGCTTGGCCATATACAACATGTACTTCCACCTTAATACCCCACCCTTCTCCCAGACAGGATTCTCTGTAGTAGCATTATTTACCTTTTATGTTGTTGGACAAATGAACACACTTTCAAACAAAGCACTTTCCATCTTTTTTGATTGTTTGTTTTCTGAGAAAGTTATGGGTCTGTTTATCCCAGAATTATTTAAAAAAATAAATAGGCTATAAGCTGTCACTTTATTTTTTGTCTTTTTTTTGTAATTAAAAGCCCAGAGGCATATTGTACAGTCCCTATTAATTGATTAATACAAATTGCATTAAAAAAAGAAACAGTCTTATATAATAGATGGACTCTTCAATGTCAAATTTTATCAGGTGATTTTATTCATTCATAAATGTACCTAAGTAATTCTATATATCTAAATACAATAATGATGGAAGGAATATTGATTTTATTTGGAAATGTTGGTATAGATACAAGGTATAATTTTAATTGCAATATTTAAAAGAATAAAAACATAAGTAACCATTTTTCCCTGGTGTTTATAGGTCTTGTTTCAGCTTTTTCATCAAGTATACTATCTCTTCTTCCAATGAACAAAACAATTTTAAATGAAAGTCAAAGCAAAACAAAAATTAGTGTAGTCTTTGCAGCATTGCCTTCTTAAAAATTGGGCTCATAAAGAATCTGCAGTTATACTATCCTGACAGAAAATATAAGAGGGCATGTGGATGTATGGGAAGCCTGATAGGCTGTTTGAGTAGCTTTGAAAGTCATGAAGACCAGAATAGAGGCACATAGAGAATAGTGCTGGTTATGGGGAAGAATATTCATGGGCAGCTTATAGAAATTTAGAGTCAAGCAAGATACAAAGGATGTAAGATTAGCGAAACTTGTTGTGTGTACTGTGGGCCACAAAAAATAGTAGTGTTGGTCAAGGGGAAAGAAGGAGAAACCAGCTGTAGAAAGTCAGCACCCACCCACCCTCCTAGAGAATTAAATATTTTGGGGAATATTAAAAAGACAGGATAGATTATTTTCCCTAAAGGAGACAGGGGGGGGGGGTTGTTTAAGGGAGGCAGAAACCAGCACCAGTCTCCCTGCCCTAAGCAGAAACTGAGGAGGCCACCTTTTAGAAATGCAGATTTGGCAATTCATTAAGAAAGACTGGCTCAGAGGGAAACTCCAGATAAGCAATTAGGCAAGATAAGATTAACTGCTCAGACAATTCCCCCTTTGCCTATAGACCCAGCCATGACTCCTACATGATTCCATAAAAATCAAAAAGGTACTGTTCACCAATAAACAGAATCTTTCTTTCCAATCAGCCTCCATTTTATTCCCGGCTTGGAAGTAGAACTGGATTTTTCATCCAACACAGCCCAAGTTAATGTTGTTCCTTCCAGCCTTTCTCCTAGGGTGATATTTCTCTTCCTGTGGTTTTACCTCAGGCATGTATCATCTTTTAGTCAGAGTCTGTGTCAGTGTTCTTTATTTGGTTTTTTTGGCCCCATGGGAACCTCAGAGACATTACTTTAGACCCTGGTTTGCTCAGTTTTCATAATCTTGTACTCATTTGCATTCCTTTCCCATACATAGTAATTCTAATAAAAAATATTTCCTTCATCATTTAAGTCAATCTTGGATTAAACACACAAATATTCATAAATAAAGGGAGGTCATGCTGCTACAGGTGAAACTCGAAAAATTAGAATATCGTGCAAAAGTTCATTTATTTCAGTAATGCAACTTAAAAGGTGAAACTAATATATGAGACAGGCTCATTATATGCAAAGCAAGATAGTTCAAGCCGTGATTTGTCATAATTGTGATGATTATGGCTTATAGCTCATGAAAACCCCAAATCCACAATCTCAGAAAATTAGAATATTACATGCAATCAATAAAACAAGGATTGTACATAGAACAATATCGGACGTCTGAAAAGTATAAGCATGCACACGTAGTCAGTACTTGGTTTGGG